GTATATAGGGTCTCATATTTTCATATTTTGATATCTGAAGCCAGGCATGTTTTAAGAGGTCATGATGACCCTTGGAACACTAGAAAGTCTCCCATGTGAAAGGCACGTTGGCCTGAAGACATGTGGAGGGTCTAGATCAGGGCACCAGAGCTTTCTGCTCCTATATTATCTTTAGATATTGTCTAAGCCATACTCTGCTTTCCGTGGATTCCTCTTCAGGACTGGTAAATATCACCCACTCTAAACCTCAGCCATGTTGGCCAATAGTCCCATGTTGGCCAATAGCTCCTGGGATTCTGGGAGTTGAAGTCCCTCGGCCCTTAAAGGGGAAAGGTTGTCTACCCCTGGTCTAGATAATACCAGAATGAGTTCCTGATCACTCCATCCTCTCCTCAAAGTTTCCACATATCTACTTGCACTGAGGACAAAGGCAGCCCCATTGCGCTAAGGCAAGTAAGACCATATCTTTTACCTACCCCCTACTGTGTTGCCAGCCACCTTTTCTGTCCAGCTATGTTGGGGTTGTCCATATCCAATCATTGTTTTTTAATCCAAAATTAAAACTATCAACCAGAATTTCTCCTTTTGTAAATCCCATGGGAAAACAATCAAAGTCTTTGTATTTCATGCAGGCACATTAAGTATCCCTTGAGGATACGTAACAGGATATAAATATCCACCCTGCACACATCCAATTGCAAACACTGGAGCTTTGTCCAACCATACGGAGCTTTCTGCTCCTATATTATCTTTAGATATTGTCTAAGGACCTTATCCCACGGGGCCAAAAGCAGCAAGAATCCACTAAGAATCAGGCGCTATAGCGCTATACATTCCCGGGTGATCACACGACGTCGCTCAGAATCGGCTAAGAATCAGGCGCTATAGCGCTATAGTTTTCCGGGTGATCCCACGACGTCGCTCAGAATCCGCTAAGAATCAGGCGCTATAGCGCTATAGTTTTCCGGGTGATTACACGACGTCGCTCAGAATCCAACAAGAAACCGCTCGGAATGCAGCATCATTCGGGTTCTTTTGAATGTCGGTTTCAGCGGGCATTGCAATAGCGCTAGCTTATCCATAGCGCTATTATAGCGCTAGCGCCATATTTATACTAGCGCTATAGTACTGCAATGATGCTCATATCGCTTTCTTGCCACTTTTGAGAGCAGCGTGGGATAAGGTCCTATGCCATACTCTGCTTTCCGTGGATTCCTCTTCAGGACTGGTAAATATCACCCACTCTAAACCAATTTTCCAAACCGCTACTTAGGTTAGCCCTGTATGTTGTTTCAGACTCTTGCATATTTCTGAAAAAAGCCTACTTTATTCACCAAATTTAGAGCCCTCTTGCAGTTAGTACTGGTTATACATAGATGAAATGATGTCCCCAGTTACCCACCTGTCATAGGCCTTCTTTGAGCTAAGCGATTACCTCAACATTTAAGGAAACACTGACACAGTTGGTGGTGACCCCAAGCCCCCTCCCCCATTTCTGGTAACAACATCAAATTTAAGGTGGAAGTGAAAAGGAAAAAGAGCATATACATTTATTCTTTTAAAAAAATAAATCACCAAGTAAAAAAAACAAACATGTAGCTGAAGCTTTCAGGAATAATGTAAGAAACGCTAAAGGTCAAAATGAGTTGAGACTGGCTAGGAGATCAGGGAGAAACAAAAAGAGGTGTCTCAAATATACTCAAAGAAAGAATGAGCAAGGAAATGGTGTGACCACTGCTCAACATGAATGATCAAATGCTAACATAGTGCAACAGAAATGCAGAACTGCTTAACACCTATGTTGCTTCAATTTTTCCAGAAAAGAGGACTCTGTGCTTCCACTCATCAGCAGGAACCTCGGCAAGAAATCTAGATTGCAAATCAAGATTGATAAGGAGTTAGTCAGGAATTACCTTTTGTTGTTGTTAACTGCCCTTGAGTCAATCTTGACTCATGGCAATCCTATGGATGAGACATCTCCAAGACCCTCTGTCTTCCACTGCTTTGCTTAATTCCTGCAACCTCTTAATACCCGTGACCTCCTTAATAGAGTCCATCCATCTAGCATGTGGCCTTCCTCTCTTCCTACTTTCCTCTACCTTTCCCAGCATTATTGTTTTTTTCCAAAGAGTTCTCCCTTCTCATGATGTGTCTGAAGTACAACAGCCTCAGTTTGGTCATCTTGGTTTCCATGGAGATTTCTGGCTTGGTCTGCTCTAGAACCCATTTGTTTGTCCTTTTGGCTGTCCATGGGATCCTCAGCACTCTTCTCCAGCACCACATTATCTCAAATACATTGATTTTCTTCTTTCTTAACTGTCCAGCTCTCACATTCATACATGGTAACAGGGAATACAATGGCTTGTATGATTCTAACTTTTGTGCTGAGTTGTATATCTTTGCATTTTAGGATCTTTTCTAGTTCTTTCATAGCCACCCTCCCCATTTTTAGTCTTCTTCTGATTTCCTGAATGCAGTCCCCATTCCTATCAATGTTTAATCCCAGGTATGGGAATTCTTTTACTATTTCTATT